GTTAAATAACAAACAAAGACGTAACAATACTATAATTCAAATTTATGTTTTTGAACAAGATAAGAATTGTATGATCCCTTAACTATATATTTTGTTCAGTATTTTCTTTCTTACAAATTAATTCTTCTACTCATGAACATGCAAGCCAGAAAGTTTTCATTCATTAAAGTTTAGTTCTCTATTTATACATTTAATAAAGGTTTTAAGTTGGTAGATTATATATTCCTTTCCATTTATCTTGATTAATAAACTAATAAATTTCAAACTTCAGCAGTAGACTTTACAATTAGATTTAGCCAAAATATCTTGTAGTTCTGTATGTTGGCTTTTCTAAAATCTTAAACATGATTTTTATTAACTCTACAACTGGTTTCAGTAAAAGTAGAAAAAGAAAAGAATTGTAAGGGAATAATAACATAGTACATAGGTAACAAGGCTATTCCTGTTCATTCACTTTTAAGAAAAAGGTCAATTTAAGTACACCCTTTATTTTTTAAGAAATTGTCAGTTCCCCTCTTAAGCTTAATTACAGTGCCAGCCTCCAATACTGCCAATGGCAACTCCACTACATAAGCCAGTCATCTGTTAGATAAATAAAACTGTTTTAATTGGAGTTTAGCTGTTATTGCTAGTATTAAAATGTTCTTGCACATCTAAATTCCTAACCATATCTTCCTCAGCTTCATGTTTAAAAGACAATCTAACAGGAAAATTGTCAGTAAACATTTTTTTCCCTTCTAAAGAATCTTGGCAAATTATTTCCAAGACTTCTAGTATTATTTGTGTCACATAGGAATAATTCAACTTCAAATATTTTAAATGTTTAGGTAATTGATGCATCTTAAGAAATGGTAGCAGATTCTTAAGAACATAAAGTGTAAGTTGCAGATTACCAACCAGCCTAACAAAGTCATTTTCATTTACATTTCAGGGTTCCAACAGTTATTAAAACAAAAAATATATCTTTCATAAAATGAATCAAGCAAGAAAATTTCTAAGGTATTAAAGTGATTTGACTTATCAGTATGAAATTTTATTGAATATACCAGCAACAAATTCTTTCAAGGAAAATAAGACTAAATGAGTTATTTTAATTTCTAGAGAAAAAAGCATGATGTTTGCTTGTGTAGTGTGCCTTTAAAAATGGAAGGTACTACTATAAATTTCCTGATGGCTTATTTTGTATTACATGTCCACAGGTGGGGATCAGTGTGTAAATGCCCTGACCTTTTACAGAGCACCATTCAACATGGTATTATGTACTTAATTTCAGAGTTGTCAATTATTTAATTTATCCTACATTGCTGATTTAGTGACAGTTCATTATAAAGGAGAGCAAATGCCAGATACAATATACAGAGATACTAAAAAAAAATGTAAATGAGCTAGAAATTATACAAATTGTATGATGGACAAAAATGTCATTATTTTTTATAAGAACATCACCTTGCATTCTGACATGTTTGAATCAGACAGGTGCTGTCAATTCACTGACATATCTTGAGTACAAATACTTATGTAACATATTTTTTGTGTACAACAGATTTGTACATTTTACTAAAAGATTGCCAAAGTTCATGTTGATACACTTGGTAATTTTGGAATTATAGCTAACATTACTTCTCCAATATGGGGTTGGTCCAATGCACTAACCATGTGCACATTCATTTAATGAATTAGTGCATAACTATTGCTGGACATGTTTTTTGTTGAAAAGGTAGGGTGTTATTGTAAGTTGTAAACCCAAGGTAATTTTTTAAAAATTCAAATTACAGTTTGCTTTAAAACCTGTATTCTAAGAGTTGTCTGTTAGATAGGTGTAGAAACTTGTATTCTTCACAATGCTTGTGCATTTTCCATTTTATATAACCATTAAATAATTCAGTATTTTTTATGTACCTAGTACATTTGTCAGGTATCATATATTATTATATGTAACATTATTTTTGGAATAGAGATTTGTATCAAAATATATTAATATTATCATCTGTATCTCAATGCAAAGAAAGTGTGTGTGTGTGTGTGTGTATTAAAAATTTTTTTTAATAATGATGACCATTGTTGTGTCATTGTGATTAAGGAATTCGGAAGCATATGTGGTGTTTATTTTCCAGTTAAAATAGAAGTTTGAATTTTGGTAAATAGAAAAAAAGTCCTGAATGCAATTTTTTGGTTAAATTTCAGTGAATAAATTATATGAAATTGAAAATAAATAGCTTTTTAAAAATCTAAAATTTGTTATGTTGATTGAAATGTCTTGATGCAGAAGCTCTTGACTTATAATGGGTTGATATCAATCATTCAATTAAAATTTCATGTTTTTAGTCATTTGTAAAAGATACATGCATTCTTTCCTTCAATAAATTTTGATTTGAAACTAAATACTTGAGCTTGGACTATTTGAATATTTCATGCACATCAATCTTTTTTGTTTGTGAGTTATAAAAAGAAAGAGGGAATTTGTTTATATTGTATTCATACATGGGTTTGTGTTTGTTCAGAATATAATCTGATTAAAATATATTTTTGATTAAACCAGGTGAACTAGTAATGTGATTAATTAACTTATTACTTACTTTAAAAGTTTTTTTTCTGTAAGTCACTTAATTACACTTAAGCTTTTAGCATGTTTTTTTATTTTAATTAAACCATATAGTTGTATTAAGATGCATGTATTAAATTAGTGTTGATATATTTTCCGTTTGCATTTTGATCAGTTTTCTTTAACCAGTAACAAGATTTTTGGGTCAAGGCTTGTAACTTCTATACAACTTATATGTTCAGTGGAAGTAGTCTAACATCATTAACAAGTAAATAACTTGTAGCTACGTCTATGTCAAAATTGATAACAATCTTATTAGGGTTTATTAAATTTTTTAAAGAAAGTTATCCCTGTTCACCTGACACGGTTTTAAATTGTATGTGTAGGAAAAATCATGCAAGTGTAAGTTTAAGTAACTTGTTTTGAGTTCATCAAGATTGTTTTTATTTATATA